TATAATATTACCTACAATATTTTATTATATAATAACTTACACTGTCTCATTAAAAACGTTTATAAAACAAATTCAATGGGATAAAAACTTGCTAAAAAGAGAAAGAAAAAATGCAGTGTGTATAACTCCCCTCAATTGAGCCATATAACTACTCTTGAAGCTAAGGAAATAGAGCAAAAGTTATAATTTCCCATAATGGCTATCTCATAATAAATTGTACTGATGTCCATTCAATTAGATAAATAACATCCATTTACAAAGCTTCCTCTCGGATATTAATGCACTAAGTTCATACTTTATTAAAATCTAGCTAGAAACCCAATGAAGGGAAAAAAAATAGGGAAAACTTCAAAAAAACCTCTTAGGGGGCGTTTGATTGAGGAGAAAATTTTTGTATACTAGGAAAATGTAATTACTAGGGAAATAGTTGGAAAGTGAGTTTGGTAGAAAAATCTAAAAAAAGTTGTTTGGTTGACCGAAATATTGCCAGAGAAATTTATTTAAATTTGCAAAATCTATGTTCGGGAGAAACTTCGCACCTATTTTTTTCACTTCTCCAGTTATCTCAAAATACCCCATCTCAAGTGGTATTCTGTAACAGTGAATTTCATCTAAAAATCAACACAAAGGTCATTTCCTCATCTATCCTATTTGCCTAGTATTTTTTTCAAAAACCTGAACCAAACGTGGTATTTTTCAATATCCACTTACATTTTCCCATCAATCCCAAAATAAATCTTCTACCAAACACTACCTTAAAAGTTTCGTCATAATCACTTACCCCTTCCCTGAAATTTTTAATCATTTACACCCCTATTTAAATTTTTTTTTTATCACTTACCCCCTAACTTGATTTTCCATCCAAAATTAAAGTTAAAGAGTTAACTTTTTTTAAAAATACCAAAACTATCCTTAAAACAAAACAAAAAATTAACCCTTGCACTAATGGACCTTAATGCTGGCAAGAGATAGTCATGGAGTGGAGCCTTAATGGACCTTTGTTGATGGAATGAAATTTTTTGAGTACTGAAGATAAAATGTAATAGAACACAAATAATTCACTGGTCTTCTTCAAAGAATACAATGAAACAGTAGATTCAGAAAATATCATTCGAACTCAACGTTTAGTGCTTGCTTTCACCATCGCTCAAATAATAACATATCTGTTACACCAATAAATAAATCTAAGATAAGATAAGTTTGTAAAATTTAATTTCCGATGAGGGCAAGCTGCCTCTTTGCAGTGTTAGATATAGGGAGACATTCGTGCACTCTCGTAACGTGGGTATAATTGAATTATAGATTGGTATAATTGAATAAGGTTAATATTTGGGACATATTTTCTTTAACAAATACAAATCGATTCCATTAAGTTCCAGACCTATATTTCATTCTAAAAAAAGAGAGCAGATTCTTGCATGGCTCTATAAATAAGCAAATGAATAAATGGATCATCTTTTTGGAATAGCAAACAAAAAAGAGAATTGAAATATTTAACCAGTGAAGTATTTAATCTTAAGATTCTTCCTATATGCAGTAAACACCAAATAACCGGGCCATGTAAATTGAAATCTTGCATTCTGTTTACTTTTCTGCAATGCAAGTGAATATTTTCTCTATCTGAAGACCAGAAACACACAGCTTGCAAAGGGCTCCAGAGCTTCTTGTGATCGGCATCTCACCCATGCGGTCAGGCTCGCAGCGGCGACTCTACTCCTCAATGACTATCTCTTGCCAGCAGTAAGGTTCAGTTAATGCAGGGGTTAATTCTTTCTTTTTAAGGATAGTTTTGGTAATTTTTTTAAAAATTAACTCTGTTAACCTTAATTTTGAATGGAAAATCAAGTTAGGGGGGTAAATGATAAAAACAAAACTAAGTATGGGTGTAAATGATTAAAAATTTCGGAGAGGGGGTAAGTGATTCTGACGAAACTTTCAGGGGTTTTTGAAGTTTTTCCAATCTACCAAAACATCACACAAAATGCCTTATTAAAAATCTCTGGAAAAAAAAATTAGTAAAAGAAAAAAGAGCACATAATAAATCTTGAGGGCTCCATCTTTCATAAATGATCATAATTAATCCGCTCCCTCTTATAAAAGTTATTTATTAAGTTTACGTATACCTATTTCATATACTAATTTCACAAATACATAAGTGGATAGGGATTTAGTGAATAAATATATAAAATTTTCACTAGAATGAACTTGATAGATATTATTTCACTAGAGTTTATGTGTGTAAAAGAATTTTGGTGAAATTATTAAATACTTTTTAAAAGAATTATGCAAAAATTCTACTTGTTGATTGAATATAATAATCCAAGCCTAAAGAACACCTATCTGACTTCTCTTCCTAAAGAGATTCAACCTGAATTAAACAGGATGACGTTTGCTCAAGGTAAAGATTTTACAACCCTTACTATGGGTCAAATTCACCCGCTGACTCTAGAAGCGGTGGATAAGCTCTATAAACCGCACAAGTACATAACTGATTTGATGAATCAGAATTCAGGTGATGTTTGGTTCAAGGTTTCCAAATATTTTCCTATGTATCTGATGTTGGGAAATGGTGTAAACCATGTTTGGTAGAGAGAATTGCAATATTTACCTAGGCATCACATTTGCATAGCATTTGAAAATTGCAAGTAAAAATCACTGTTTAGAAAGACAATTGTGAGGTAGTATTTGTGGTTGTCTAGCTAAATAAGGAAGAAAGAGAAATAGATTTAGACTAAAATATCCTCATCTTTTTGGAATACAATAGGTGGAAAATAATTTTCGAGATTGAGATCAACAATTAAGAAAACATACTGTAAAACAGCCCATCGAGACATCAAAACCCAACAGTTTTCTAATATCGTAATGTTTGGATAGCATACAACCATGACAGTCAATTACAAAAAATTTACATGGTCATTTTACCTTTCTTGACACCATGGTGTAAATTTGCTGCACAAAGATGGGGAAAACTACATGAGAATAGCATAACTTATTTCTTAAAATCAAAGGTTTCCTTACACCGTAGTGACTAGTTAGAACTTAGAACCAATGCACAAGAATTTGTTCTCACCTTTAAATCGATTGATACCAGCATCCAAGAACTTGTGATTTACTTCTGCATGCCAGCACAGGATAGTTACTAAGAATTAAAGTTGTTGCAATTCCAGAGCCAGTACGTTATAAAGGGTAGGTGATTCAAAAAATTTAAAAACAGGGATATTTTAGTAATTGCCATTTATTTTTCCATCTGTATTTTACCTCAAACCAAACATAGATTTTATAAATCTTACCTAATTTGCCCGGTAAATTTTTTTTCTAATCAAACAACTTTTTTTACATTTTTCTACCAAACTCACTTCTCAATCATTTCTCTATTAATTACATTTTTCTAGTATTCAAAAATTTTCTCCTCAACCAAACTCCCCTCAAATATACTAAACTCGTTAATACTTTTCATTAATAAAAGGTCGGAGGGTAAATAACAATATCATACAAAAAGGTTTAAATCAGCTGACTAAATAAATAACCAAATATTTATGGGTTTTATTACTCTTCTGTTATAGGTAAAATATTGTCTTCTGCAATAAACTAACGACGTCGTTTTATTTGATTTTAATTTCTCTAGCTTTCTTTTATTTTTGTTTTGCAAAACCAATGTATGACAGTAAGCTAAAGGCAGAGGGAGTTTGGTGGAGGGAAATGAAAGTCACTCTATGCGCTGAGACCCAAATGCTCCATCATCACTTGTTTCTTCCTCCAACTATCGCCCTAGCCATGCTGTTATTCTCCTAGTTGGTAAATCTCTCCCCATGCTCGCTTACCTTTTTGCCAAGTTATTGATGCTCTGTCTCCATTCATTTTCATGTTTCATTATCATGGCAGGGCTTAGGGAACTATTCCTACGACTACCACAAGTTGCTGAAAATTAAGGTGTGTTGAAGAGGGGAATCAAAGGAATGTTTTTGAAGGAGGAAGAAAGAGTAGAGAAGTGAAGTGTCACTGGGCTTTGCTCAAATTTCTTCTCTGGGTGTTGAGGGTATGTTCAAAGTTTTCAACTTGCATTGCTTTGTTTTGTTTGGTGCTGTATTTTCTTGTACTTGAATATCATATGGGAAAATGCTTTATTTTTTTGGGTTCTCTCTCATTTTTTTGGAAAACTTGAAAAAAAAATTAGGTGTTTTTGTGTGAAACTGAGGAATTTGTCTATTTGAACAGAAAAATATAGAGAAGAAAAATTAATTTTTTTAGGGTGGTTCACTGATTTCTTTTGGTGAAAGCATCTTTTTTAGGTGAAGTGCTTTGTCCCATTCTCTCTACACACCTCTCTACTCACACTCAAGCTCACACTAAAATTCAATCATGTCATTTATCAAATTTAATGCTGCAATATGTAAGATGAAAAGAGTAACATGTTTCACGAATAAAGGAAACTATAAGAGTTTTTTAAATTTTTATATTTAACACAAAAATTATAAAAACTATGATTTTTCATGCATCAAAATTCAATCTTCTCTCTTGAATTATAATATTTTGCAGATTCAAAATTTTTCTTCATGATGGATCACTCTCAAATTGTAACTATTGAAGACATTGATGCAAGTGAAAGTTTAGTATGTGTAGATGATATTGTTGATTTGGAGAAAGACACTAATGAATTTAGAGAAGACGATCTGAGTGAAATCATGGCAATCAAAGATGGTGAATGCGGGGAAGATAATGCATATGAAATTGTGGGACATGTTGATACTGAATTAATGAAGACCCCTATTTTAACTAGAGTTTTTGAGACATCATAAGAAGCCTATGCTTTTTATAATGCTTACGCAAAAGGTAAGGGATTCGGAATACGTAAGCAATACCATAACAAGAATGCAATTACAAAACAAGTATATAGGTGGAATTATGTGTGCTCAAAGCAAGGTGTCAAGAGACTAGATGATAAAAGAGTTGATGTTGACAATGTCAAAAGGTGAAGGGATTCAAGGACTAATTGTTTGGCGATGTTACAAGTAAAGTTGGTGGATGGCCTATGGAAAGTGGAGAAGTTCAATGATACACACAATCATCCATTGATTAACACTCCAACAAAGGTGAAGAAGTTTCTTTCTCAGAATGAATTTAGACGCTCGGATTTGACAAAATCTGTTGTTTCTAAGCTTTATCAAGAGGGTTTAACATCTTCGAAAATCTCAAAGGTTGTGAGTGCTATGGACAAAGAGGTTAACCTTACTCCTGTTCAAATAAACAATATTATATCTAGCCAGCGAAGGAATAATGTGGGGCGAGAATGTCAGGGCATCATCAAACACTTTCAGAAAAAGTCCATGGTTGATGGAGCTTTTTATTTTGATATGCATTTGGCAGAAGATGGAACGCTAAGAAGCATATTCTGGGCAGATGGTAGGTCAAGAGCTGCATATGCTTATTTTGGTGAAGTCCTTGTATTTGACGTGACTTACAAAACAAACAAGTTCAAATTTCCTTTTGCCCCTTTTGTGGGGGTTAATCACCATGGGCAAACAACTTTATTTGCTGCCGCTTTGTTAGAAGATGAAACGGAGGCAACATTTACATGGTTGTTTGAACAATTTCGAATTTGTATGTTTGACAAGTCTCCTGTTGCTATTATCACTGATCAAGACAAAGCTATGGGAAAAGCAATTGCCAAGATATTTCCAGGAGCACGACATCGTTTTTGCGCATGGCATATAAAGAAACATGTTATGGAGCACAGTCAAGCACTACGAGCACAATTTAAAGATAGTTTTGATGTTGACTTTCGTGCGTGGTATAAAAGCCGAAACATTGATGAGTTTGAGTGCAAATGGGAAATATTGAGGACTAAATATGTTATTAAAGCAAATAGCTGGCTGGCTAACATGTATGCTTCACGTCATCATTGGGCAAAGGCATACTTGAAAGATACATTTTTTGCCGGAATGACCACAAGTGGCCGAAGTGAGAGCATCAATGCATTTTTTGATGGATATGTCAACTCTAACACAATGTTAAATGACTTTGTTATCCAATATGACAAAGCAATCAAATCTAGGAGGGATGCAGAGGAAGATGAGGATTTCAAAACTAGAAATACAAAAGCAGTTTTGGAGACTAATCATCCTATTGAAGCAATAGCTGGAGAATGGTACACAAGAAAATTATTTGAAATCTTCAAAAAAGAGTGGAAGGCTGTCATGCATAATTGTTTTCATGAAAAGATTGCAATGAACGAAAACTTTATCACATATCGGGTGGGATCTCCAGAAGTTGATAAGGAATGGTGGGCAATTGTAGAGTATCATTTGACGGAAAGCTTCACAGCTCATTGTTCGTGTGCAAAGTTTGAGACTATGGGGATTTTGTGTAAACATATTCTATACATTATGAAGAAGAAACAAATAATGACCCTTCCTGAAAAATATATCTTGTCTAGATGGACCATGAATGCAAGTATAAGGCTGAAAATCTTGTATCCATTCATGATGAAACAAATACTAATGAAATTAGTGCATTATCTTTGTGGTCGATTCAGTTGAAGTGCACTATGGCTATTTCTGAAGCAAGAGATTCTATTTTTGAGATTAGAAGGTTTGATGCTATGGTTGCTGAATTTCTACAACAACATTTGGAAAGAAAAAGAAAGAGAGGTGAAGATGAACTAAATGCCCAAACAATTCCACAAGCTTTACTCATTGATGATGTGCGTGATCCCACTCAACCAGTCAAAACTAAGGGTCGTCCAAGGATTGCTTCACGAATAAAATCAAGCATGGAGTTGTCAGCAAAACAACAAAAAACTTGTAGTTATTGTCAAGGAAGGGTCATAATAAATCAGGTTGTCAGATGCAAAAGGTACTCATTTTTAAATTTGCTATTTATGTTTGTGATTTCCTCTTTAAACTTGATGAAAAATTTGTGAAGTTTCATTTGTAGATGGATGTTGCAAGAGAGAAGCAAAAAGAATACTAGTGATTGCATATATTTTCATGGTTTTATTTTGGTAAGAACTTATTTTTGATGAACAATTTTCATGGTTATATTTTTAACTATAATATTTCAATGTATATTTGTACTTAATATTTTTTCATTTATTTTTCAGGACATATTTTGGGGCCCTGTTGGTTTCTTTTGTATATGGACAATACCAGAATTTCACAATATTTTTTGTAGGGCAATGTTGGTTGGTGAAGTAAATACCAAAAGCACTGTGGGTTTCAAATATATGTGAAGTTTTTTTGTGTATATACAATCATCGTGAGCAGGTATAAAGAGATGAATTTTTTGTGACTCCATTTAGATTTGGAGATCAAATGTAAAGGGATGAGTTTTTTGTGACTTTGATCATATATGGTAATCATTTGTAAAGTCAATTGCTGATTTTGATTTGTACAAAAGAACTTGCATACATCAATGTAATCTATCAAAGTTAGAAATGAATGGAGCTGCTCAAATTGTAATTGCTCAAACTGTAATTGCTATTTATTATGCCCATAATGAGTAACAGTGTAATACAATTACAAACATCATCATACATTTACAGGTGCCTCATTATACATTTACAGGTGCCCCATCATACATTTGTTTAGCCCAAAAAAGGCATTAAATAATTACATTGCTGTTCTAGCAGCATTAACATCAGTAACAAAAGCTCTGTCACTTCCTACACTACCATCTGATGGTGTGAGAGCATTTACAGGTTCCTCGACTTCATCCACTTCCCACACCTTGACCAATTAAAGATGAATTATCTGCGCTAGGTATTGCTTCAATCACAAGAGTCGTAGAGGGTTGAGTATGAGAATTTGGTAATGCTATAGGACGTGATCCATTGACAATTGCCTTTTCAACTTGCTCACGGGCCAACTTGCAGTACAAAATTTGCAGAAAAGTAATAAGAGTTACAAAATTAGAGGTAGAAAATAACAGAATGAATAATTAACACATCATCATTTTCAGTGTTGAAAACCTTCAGTTCCTTGGGAAGTAACCATTTTGAGTCCATGGGGATCATGTTTTAGTAATACCTACAGACATTCATTTAATAAAAGAAAAAAATCAGCAATGAAAATGAAGAAAAAAAAGAAAAAAAGAAAAATTAAAGGAATGAAGACCCACTTTCATTGAAGAAATCTGTTTGTAGTTTTAATATTCTCCAAGCAGTGAGTAAAAAATGATATATTCAACCATTACAATGTGAAAAAATATCATGATGTGTCAAGTGAATATTGAGGATCCTTGATTCGTCAAAAATTAAAATAATACAACTACTGAAATCCATACTGATGGACATCCCTCCTTGATTAGTTGAACCTCAGACAACTCTCCTTCAGAATTCTTCACTCTTTTAAATTGGTTCATTTCAATGATGATTATAGGTGTTTGTCCATTGAAGAATTGAAAAGTCATTCCTGAAACCAAAAAAAAAAAAAATTATTCCTAATCTTACTTGAGTCCTAACAAACTATATTCCACACCGACAATCCTGAAGACCTGCCAAATACCAAATTCATACAATGACTTGCTCAAAATTCATTGGTGGGATGAAATGTAGAAAATTCAAGTATTCAACCAATGATAACAAATGTGATTCAAAGAGTGATTAACAAAATGAAAACCTCCGACATCCGAGCTTCCATCCTTTCTGATTGAGATCAGAACTTTCTTTTGTAATAATCCCTCTTGTCAATGCCTTCTTTAGGGGAATTAGGATCAAGTTGATAAGGGTACCATTTTATCTGTATATTAAGACAAACAACAAATTAAGTATCAGAAAAAAAAAAAAGACAAACAACAAATTAGGATATGAAATGTAAGACATGTTTGGGCTAAATAGGAACAAATGCCTTTTTGTTGAATAGGTAAAACTTTCCCAGTTACTTCAAAAATGAAATAAGGCTATGGCAGCTTACCAAAAAAAAAAAGAAATAAGGCTATGGCAACTACTATATCCCAAACCCCCCAATAAGGCTATGGCAACTTCAAATGCCTTTTTGTTATATAAATGTACCACTTTACAGACTTGGATGCTACAAAAAAAATTCAAATAAAAATAATTACCAATTCTTATTTCATCGATTTAATGATCATTGAGAAAAAAAATAGAACAATTATGAAAAACCAACAACAAAAAAAGATAAAATGTTGTTCACTCAATAACCATAATTTGTTGCTCAACATTCCCAGCACGAAGATGAATTGAAATATCCAATTCAGAACTGAAAAACACCCCAAAAGGGTCAAAGCGAGTGAGAATTAGAGATAAACAAAGGTAATTACCCGATCAGCATCCATATCCTTTGTAACCTTGGATGGCTTCACGAATCTCTTTCCTGCGGGGAGAAAAAGGGTAACAAATCATTACAAAAGATCTTGTACTTGCTGAAAATTAAAAGTGGGAGAATGAACTACCTTTGTGAGTAAGAGGGACTTTCCCATGACGATCAGGAGGAATTGATTTCTTCTTCGCTTGACCCTTGAAAAGATTCGTCTTCTGCGTCATATTCCTCTGCTTCTGCTTGCTAGGATTAGGGTTAGGGTTTAGTTTATGTCCTCATAAGCTTTATTACAAGTATTCAAACAACAAGAAGTTGCTTGATCTTGATTCTTTGATGATAGAAAGATAATCTCAGAAGAGAAACAAGAAGATATTTTTTACTGTCTAATGAGAATAAAAAATGAAAATGAATGGAGGCAGAGATGAAAAAACGAGAAATTAAAATCAAGTGAGACGACGTCGCTTGTTCGTTGTAGGAGACAACATTTTACCTGTAACAGAAGAGTAATAAAGCCCTTCAATATTTATAGCAAAAACAAGGGAAATAATACTCTCATGTCACATGAGGTAATCTCATTTTCCTACACAAATTCGTTTTCCGTGCTAAATAATTTTTCTTTTCTTTTTTAATATAAAATATGGGACCCACATTTAACTTCTCTCTACTTTTTTTCTCTCCTACAATCCTAGAACATGTGAAAAGTTAAAGCCCAAAAACAATCCTCGAAGTTTCTCAATATCCGTATATACCTCCCTATCCAATATGGCATAGCGTCTTCCTACACGTGTCTTTATTTCAAGCTTTGTTTTTTTCTTTAAAAAAAATGTTCAAGCCAAGATTACGTGTCTTTCTTTCCTTTGTTTTATTCCTAGTCTCCCTTCCTTTATTTATTTATTTATTTTTTTGTACAAGCCCTTCCTTTATTAATTTAGCATATGGATTCATTTGAGTGTGAACGTTAATTTGAAATTTGAAATTGGTAACTTTCATTCGACGATTTGGTACTTATAATTTTTTTTGTGGCCATGACACTTTACTTTAAAAATAATACATACTCGTACAACTCAAGCAAATTATCATAAAGACACATTGGCCCTTCTTACCTCGACCTAAGCACATAAGAATCTATCGTAAACTGCATACTTACATTACAAAGCAAACAGACAGAAAAAGGTCAAATGTTAACTGAGGGCATCAAATACATTTGAGTTCACATCACACCCCATTTTTCCTTTCCTCAAGAACTCCACTCTGTTCCTTCTGTTAAATTCTGTTGGCTAAAGTTTCAGCTTTCTTGGAAGGAAAAAAAATGACCAAACAGGTTCTTCTTTTGATCATATTGGGCTCTGGATTGACCCTCTCAGTCTCAGAGTCCCAATCTGCTCCTCTACAGCCTCATGCTGCTGAGTCCTTCAATATTAGCTATATCCAGGTACTGCTAACTGGTGCTTCTGTTCTGATGAACCAAAATAAAAAAAAAATAGAAACCCTTTTCCTATTTTTCTTTCAAAAAATTTCTTAGTGCTACTTTTGTGCATGATATGAAGGTAAAGGCTTATTTTTTCTTATTTTTGTAATTGTTTCTTAAATAGCTGAAGAACGTGGGCACTTGTTCTTACAAGGTGATTATCTCTACTAGTTGTTCGTCTCCTACGTATACAAGAGATCGGATTGGTATTGCTTTTGGGGATGCTTATGGCAATCAGGTTCTGCCTTTTCCTTCATTGAATCACTCCATTTCTTTATTGCTTTTTCAGTGGAAGAGATTGTCAGAATAAGGATTGAAATACGTTTATTTGGTTCAAGATGGAATTTTCAGTTAAATTTTCTGAAACATATTGGTTATTGAGGAATTATGAACAAACCCACAATTGAAATTGAACTTAGGTCATGGAAATTCAGTATTTTGTTGGAGTTCATTTTTGTTGCATGCTAACTTTCTCTCATTTTATTTTTATTATTATTATTATTTTTTTTTGCTGGAAGAGTTGCTGGAATACCATTTCTAGATATTTTGTCAGGTCCTTCTTAGATTTGTTCTATAGCACTCTCTTATAGGCCCTAAAGTGCACTAATTGATTCTATATTTATGTGTAGAAAGGTTAACAGCCTAACATAGACTGCTTTTTCGTTGGGTAGCTCTCCAGTAAGATTAAGTTGGAGTGTCTAACCGGCAAAGCTTTTTATAGTTTATAAGCATTAAGAATAAAACCTTGCTCACCTTTGGTCAAATGGGTAATGACTGTATCTGCAAAGATAAATGTATAAGGTGTCTTGGCTGAATAATGAGCTTCCAGTGTGATCTGTCCAAAACACTAATTTTAATACATGTTTGTGAATTGCATAGAACAGACTCAGAATCTGACAGAAAATGCCTCAATTTATTTATACATCCGACTAATTAAGGAAGCTTTGTTTTGAACGATTGGAAATTCATTGCTTTTTCCCTTTCACATATCAGATATACGCACCAAGACTGGATAAACCATCTTCCCGTAGATTTGAGAGGTGTTCTTCAGATACATTTCAGATAAGTGGTCCATGTGCATATCAGATATGTTATGTGTACCTATATAGATCTGGATCAGACGGTTGGAAACCTGACACTGTGAAAATCAGTAGTTATAATGGCAGGCCTGTTACTTTCTATTACAAAAAATTCATCCCCAGAGATAAGTGGTACGGGTTTAATTTGTGCAATGACGCATCTTCTTCGCGCCATGTATCTACTCAGAAATGGCTTATATGTATGGTTCTAGGATTTGTTCTTAGTTTTTGGTTGTAAGTTTATGTACTTTTCATCTTTCTGTTTTTCCTGTAACTTGTAGCCATTAAACTTAGTACTAATCATATGACCTTTTTTGTTTTTTAATTCTTGTCTGCTTTATGATCAGTTTAATGTTTGAACAAGGAGGGGGCCCTATTAAAGAAGGGTTTGAGGTTGATATTACAAAATGAAGACCCTGATAAATTATGGCAAATTGATTTTTGCTGAACAATTAATGTTTCATCGTGGGAAGTAAAATTGAAATGAATTTTGACTTAAATGGAATCAATAGGAGTATTGTTCTGACATTAGTTGTAGGAAAATTCTAGCCTTAAATAATCTCCAACTTCAAGATGTTATTCAGTTTCGTTTTGACCAACCGGTAGGGCTCAAACTTTTCATCAATTACGTTAAGCAAATAAAGAGAGAATCCTTTATGCAGCACTCATATTGAATCCACTATGCATGCTCTTTAGAGATTGTGAGCTGGTTCGCGAGCTTTGGCTGAGGTTGATTTCACCAATGGAAACACATTAGTTTTTCAATAAAAATGACAGTGAATGGGTGCAGTTTAACTTATATTGGGATGGAGAAAGCGCTAATGGATTAAAATGGGACTCTCTATTTATGATAAATTGCTGGTAATTGTGGAATTGATGAAATGACATTACTCATGGAGGGAATCCGAGCAACAAGCATCACTCCAAGAAGCACATTCTCGGTTTAGTGCTCAACAACAATAAGGCTTTTGCATCACAGGCTCCTAACTAAGGTCAGGTAACTAAACACGATCGAGGCATGGATCACATGGCACACTAGGGTGGGTTAAGGTGAACACGATGGCGCAGCAAAGGGCAACCCAGGTCTGGAATCTGTGGAGGGATTTGCAGAGGTGATCAAGGCCAACGGATTGCAGCCTATGCGTGGAGAACAAGAACATGCAATGCTTATCATGCTGAATTATGGGACATCTTAAAGGGTCTTTAATTTGTTTGGACAAAAGGATACAAAGTGATCATAGAAAGTGGCTCAGCTATAGCTGTCACTACACTTACCTCTAAGAGTAAGTTTGCCTGAAAGTCCAATACGGTCACTCGAATTCAGGCTTGCCTAGCTAAATCCATGGAATGTCTAGCTAAACCTATGGAATAATGAGTTCTGCCCTCTCCATATACTAAAAAAGAAGAAGAAGTTCATTTACTAATATCATCACATGGCAATTTTTTTTATTTTAATATTTTTATTAATAAATATTTTTTTATTATATCTTTCTTGAATTTTAAATTTTTTAATCTTTCAAATTTTCATTTTTTGAAATAGAAATTTAAGTGTATTTATTTTTTAATAAATTTAAAAAGAAACATACATTTCCATGAAAGATATATAAAAAAAAATATCAAAACAACATAGATTTATTAAAAATGACACAAAATTGTGTCATTTTGATAAATACTTTTCCCTTCAAAAAACATGTAATACGCTTTATATCAATAATAGAAGTATAAAATGAGTTAATTTTTTAAAAATATAATATAATATTAAATAAATAAATATTTTAGTTGATTTATGATGTCTTTAATAAATTTATTAAAATGTAATTAAGTAGAAATTAAAAGTTCTTTTATTAAAAAATAAAAAATAATAATGATAATTATTTTTTATATCCTAAAATAATTTAATTAACATGTCAAAATAAAAACAATGTGTTTTAATTTAAATTATATATGTAAAATCAGAAAAGTATTTTTGATTAATTCCGAGGCACCCACCGCTCAATTGAATCTTGAACAATCTGTAGAAAAATAGTCATTTTTTGTTTTCAAGTTTTTTAACAATCTTGAACCGCAAATGAACAATCTTGAACAGTATGATTATCATTTGTTGAATAAATTATTCTTCTTCAAAAAACTCAGGAATCTTCATATACAGACAAAAAGGGGAGGGGAGGGGTTATTAATATTTGTTAATGAAGTAAAAGGTGAGAGTTTGAGAATTAAAGAACGAACGAAGGTTTAGCAAAAATTGTCAAAAAATAAGAATAAGGTTTGAGGAAGTTTCAGGCTAAGAATGTTTCTTACCGCCAAAACTATAAAACCGAAAACCGCGACGCTGCTCACTCCTCTTTCTTCTCTCGTTTATGCCACTCACTAGTCGCTACCATAACCCTCCCTTCCAAGCAGGAGAAAATCTCTCTCTCTCTCTCTCTCTCTCTCTCTCTCTCTCTCTCTCTCTCTAGTGTACCCTTGCCGCCATGCCTTCTCTTTCTCTCTCTGATGCTGATGCCACTCCCAAAGATAAGAAGGAAAAGAAAAACAAGAAGGCCAAGAACCCATCACTTATTGAACCCGAAGTATCCATTATTAGCAAGAAAAGCTCCAAACTTGGAAGCAATCTGAACTCCCCCGATCCCGACGAAGATGGGGTGTCGGGGAAGAAGAAAAAGAAGAAGAAGCGTAAGGCTTCAGATTTAGAGGTGATGATGACCGCCGATGGGGATGAAGAGAATAGTTCTGAGCTGGTTGAGCCCGAAGGTTCAAGAGAGGAGGATAACAAGAAGAAGAAAAAGAAGAAGGAGAAGAAAAAGGCCAAGTTAGAGGAATCTTTGTTGATGGAAGAGGTTGAGAAGAAGGAGGATCCCAATGCCGTTTCGAAATTCAGGATATCGGAGCCGTTGAGGGAGAAGTTGAAGGAAAAGGGAATTGAATCGCTGTTTCCCATTCAGGCTATGACTTTCAATACCATTCTTGATGGTTCTGATTTGGTTGGTCGGGCTCGCACTGGTCAGGTCTCTATCTATTCTTACTATTCCTTTCCTTCTTCTTTTTTTGTGTCTATCATCATTGAAGATGCATTGTTTTCTAGTGTTGAATCTGAATTGTCTTTTTAATCAACGGGTGTGGTGCAATGCTTGTCTTTTGTGACCTGAGGAATTGTATTTGGAAATGCATAATTAGTCTTTCATTAGACAAGTGTGATTATGGCTGCATAATTAGTTTTGTAATTGCTGTATCCTGCAGCTAACAGTTTAAAGAAAATAAAAATAAAAAATGGATGTATACTATGCTGCTTTTGACTGATCTGAAGGCTTTTTTTTATTCCAATTGTCTGCTTTGGGGGAAATGCAGGGTAAAACTCTGGCCTTCGTGTTGCCCATACTAGAGTCTTTAACAAATGGCCCTGCAAAAGCATCAAGAAAAACTGGCTATGGGAGGCCTCCTAGCGTTCTTGTTCTTTTACCTACTAGGGAATTGGCTTGTCAGGTATAATATGCATGAGCTGGTTCCGGGAGTATTTTCCCTTGTAATTGTAGGGTTTATTTTATTCTTCCCTTTATGTGTATTATTTTTACCGTGGAGTCTTGTGTATTAGGTGCATGCTGATTTTGAAGTTTATGGTGGGGCAATGGGATTGACTTCTTGTTGTTTATATGGTGGAGCTCCATATCAAGGTCAAGAAGTTAAGCTTAAAAGAGGCGTTGATATTGTTATTGGCACTCCAGGCCGCATAAAGGTAATTACAGTAATACTAATTTATTGCATGTAGCTGCTATTTTATTTCTTGGTATGAGTATTAATTGTAAAGGTAGATTGGCAGAGGCTTTACTTTTTGTGTTTAAGACAATATTTAATGATTTTCATGTTGCATATATTGGTGCAGGATCATTTAGAGAGGGAAAATATTGACCTGAGCCAACTAAAGTTTCGTGTCCTTGATGAAGCAGATGAGATGCTGAGGATGGGTTTTGTTGAAGATGTTGAACTGATTCTAAGTATGTGTGGTGCATTTTTTTTTTTTAGTGCATGGGATGCTTTTAAGTGTCAATTTTTGCATCAATTATGTGTTCAACTCATTGTGAACTATTTACTCCTTACCTTCTCAACTATTGATCTTGTTTTAGTTAATTCTAGTTTAGTGTCTGGTTAGAGTTGAGAATGATTTGGAAGGTTGTCATCTTTTTGTAAAAATACATCTTCATGTTAGAGTTCACTTTATTTGACTCTTGAATTAAAGTGGACAGTGTTCTTTATGCTTCCTTAGCACATCCCCTGCTGTTATTGTTCACATGCTCAATTTATTTATTTGCTTTATACCTTTGACTATGCTTTCTCAATATAGCACTGAGTTAGTGGCAGCTCTATTTTCTTTTCCGCAAGTTTTCTGATTCTGATAAATTGAGAAATATTGCAATTTGATAATACTAAATTTTTGTCAAACGGTAAGATTGTTTCAAACTGTTTCTTCACATTTTCTAGAGCATGATGCTTTGCAATTGGGATTACCCAAGGTTTTGTGTTCATGCAGTATGTTGGATGATAAGATGTTTTCAGTATCACAATGGTCTCTTATTTGATCTTTGCAGGTAAAGTAGAAAATGTTAGTAAAGTTCAGACACTTCTTTTCAGTGCTACTTTGCCAGATTGGGTTAAACATGTATGCTTCTATGTAATAATTTCTTGTTTAGGCTGACTAGATGTTTTATTTATGGTCTTTAACCTTATATGATTTCTATTCTCGCTAGATTGCTGCACAATTTCTGAAGACAGATAAGAAAACTGCTGACCTTGTTGGAAATACAAAAATGAAGGCCAGCACCAATGTTAGGCATATTGTTCTTCCCTGTACTAGTTCTGCCAGGTCCCAGCTTATTCCAGACGTTATTTGTTGCTATAGCAGGTGACTTTTATTATTCAATTTGTGATTTGTATTCACATATGATATCTATTTAGAGTCCATTGAGTTTTAATCTTCATTGTTTGATGCATGGTTCTGTTTCAGTGGAGGCCGCACTATTATATTTACTGAGACAAAGGAATCCGCTTCTCAGCTTTCAGAGTTGTTGCCTGGAGCAAGAGCTCTCCATGGTGACATACAGCAGGCACAACGTGAGGTGAGCTTTTACATGAATTTTTGTGTAGTAACTGTCTTGTGATCCATTACTTGAAATTTTGATATTCTTATGGACTGATGTGTTTTCTTTCTCACAATTTGTTTTAATTATAGTGTGTGCCATTTTTGCTTCTTTTTGTTTCCTGTCCCTTGCAGGTTACATTGTCTGGCTTCAGGTCTGGGAAGTTCATGACATTAGTTGCCACAAATGTGGCTGCTCGAGGTTTGGATATTAATGATGTTCAGTTAATTATCCAGGTATTTTTTATGCATATACATACAACAAACTGGATTGGATCATTCTTATGTTAGACACAACCTGGTATGCTGATATTTGTATTTGAATTAGTGTGAACCCCCACGGGATGTAGAAGCCTATATCCATCGCTCTGGGCGCACAGGAAGAGCAGGTATCTATGGGAATTTTCCATTGGTTTACAATGGCATTGTCATATTGAGGTTACACCTGGGTTTGGTTTTTTATTTTCAGGTAATACTGGAGTTGCTGTTATGCTTTATGATCCAAGAAAGTCAACTATATCTAGAATAGAAAGAGAATCGGGTGTAAAATTTGAACATGTATCTGCCCCTCAGCCCGATGATATAGCCAAAGCTCTTGGTGGGGAAGCTGCTGAAATGATTACCCAAGTGTCTGATAGGTATGCTATGCTTGTTATTTGCTACTAGTGTTTAATGCTGTCTTTTGCAGTTAATAAATGTCATAAATGCAGTGTGGTTCCTGCATTCAAGTCTGCTGCTGAGGAGCTATTGAACAACTCTGGTTTATCAGTCGTTGAATTACTTGCAAAGGCTCTTGCCAAGGCTGTTGTGAGTCAATGTTCTTCAACATTTTCTCTATTTGTTTTTTTTTCCTTACATTTTTTTAATATGTCAAATCCTTCATCTTTAATTATTTTTTCTAAGCTGGAAAAGTTTTGGCTTATCATGTAATGTGCAGGGTTATACTGAGATAAAGAAAAGATCACTTCTCACTTCCATGGAGAACTATGTTACATTACTTCTTGAGATTGGGAAACCTATCTTCACTCCATCGTGAGAACTTTACAATAAACCATGATTACAAATTATGGCATTTACATATTGTTTTGAATCAATATCTAGAAAGTAGAAACTTAAGAAATCAGGCATTCAAATTAATGCAGATGAGGATTATTTTTCATCAGTTTATAACTATGATAACACAAGAAACACAAACAATCTGATTATCTGAATAAGTTAATTTTTTGGTGTAGACAGATTTTTTGGTGTAAACAGAGTTACTAACTCACCACAGATGAACATAACTTGAATGAATATTTTCAACTTGTTCTTTCATTGGCTATTGTTAGTTTTGCGTATGGAGTCTTGAGGAGATTTTTGTCTGAAGAAAAGGTTGAGGCTGTGAAAGGTCTTACCCTCACTGCAGATGGAAATGGTGTTGTTTTTGATGTGCCAGCTGAAGATTTAGATACTTATCTTGCTGGTATAATTCTACTTAACTGTTGATTTGGAATTTTGAGCACATTTAAAAAGAAAATTTCTTTTAAATATGAAAACGGAAGGGACGGAGAGAAATGTGATTTTGAACACATTTAAATTCTACATAACATTTAATTTGGAATTTTGAGCACATTTTTTTTTTTTTTTTGGGTACATGAATTGTGAGCACATTTAAATTATTATCTTTCAAGCTTTAACTATTGTCAATAGTATGGTCTACATTTCTACGTATAGCTATTTTAGATTTAATCATATCTGTCCTTCAGGTCAGGAAAATGCCTCGAATGTAAGTTTAGAGCTGTTAAAAGCATTGCCACGTTTGCAACAAAAAGATCAATCAAGAGGAGCCAGATTTGGTGACGGTGGTGGGTTTGGTAATAGAAGTGGGGGGAACAGGTTTTCAGGGGGAAGAGGTGGTGGCAGGAATGGTAGATTTTCAAATGATAGGCTTTCCAATGGTGGTGGGAGAGGTCGTGGCAACTGGGGTGGAAAGAGGTGGTGAAGCTGATAAATAGGGAGTTGAGTGTGTTCACTTTGTTCAATGTGGAGATGACTGACTACATTACTTGTGTTGTGCCTGAAGAATATTTTGATGTTTGGCTCATATGCTGTGTGTTTGGCACATTAGCTCAAATGGGTTCAATATAACGTTAGGGTATAATAGGTCTCCTTTTTCGTTTTATTGCTTTCTTATTGATAACGCTTTCATTTTTTTTTATTTTTTTTCGACTGGAAAGTGTAACGTTAGATTTTTATATGTACGACAATGGCAAAAAAAGGAAACAGAGATTTTTTTTCTATATAGAACTGACTCAAAGTTTTATGTATTTTGATAGTAGTATGCTTTTTTCTTGTCTTTTTAACAACGGGGCAAATCCCAATTAGCTTGTAGGTTTATCTTCAACTGCTTTGTATTTCAAGTCAATACTTTAAGGGCATGTTTGCTGTATAGTATATGATATAATCTGATAGTATAAGACCTGATTGAATTTTAATACTATCCAGCATTTGACACGGTATTATATAAAATAATATCTTGTATAAGATAATATCATCTAGTATTTGGTAATGCAGTGTATCATACTATATTGGATAAAAATAAATATTTTTAATAAAAATATCCTTTAATAAAGAATTTATATAATTCTTCAAAAAATGTCATATGATTAATTTTTATAAAAATTTATTAACCAGTGTGTCAAACATAAATTTTTATAAAAATAAAAATATTCAATATTTTAAAAATTAATATATTGTAAAATTAATTTCTATTTTAATATATTAATATTAAAATAATATATTAATTCTTGAGAATTACACTGGTCAACGATGTTAATACACCAACCTCTTATCAGGCCTTATCCCTGCCCCTTAGGCCGAATTAAGTTATATGTCGTTTTGATGTATTAAGAGATCGTGCTGTATAAACTTATACTATACGATTGTCATACCAAACAACTGAAAAATGACATAACGTGTAGTATAAGTTTATACTATCAGACCTTATACGTCACGCCAAAACATGCCTTAATTATCACTGGCAAAAAAAACATTTATGGAGGAAAAAAATAAAAATATTCTCAATAAATCTACGATATCATGTAAAAAAGATGTAACCGTAGTAGGAGCAAAAGGCATTGTTCACTGTCATCATAATCTAAATTAAGTCACCAAATGGGTTGGTTCAAATAATATATTTTGATTTCGCTTATTATGTAAGGTATTTGGTTCAAGTTCTTATGCATACAAAAAATTTATTTTGAGAGAGTTAGTTTCACCTTAATGTGAATATATGATTCATCCAAAAAAAATAAATCTAAACTAACTCTCCAAAAGAACACTGTGACTTGAAATTTCATCTAACATTCTATAAGTTCTATTTAATTTTTATTTATTTTTTTGGTTACAAAGTTCTATTTTATTTACAAGATTTTGTGTAAGTGACATACTTCCTCCTTCCAGATAATTGGCTTATTTTCTAACTATCGGTGTTGTCGGGGTTCTATTATTTGTGGCTCCCTGTTTCTTCTCTGAATATTTCCAATTGGATAGAAGTTATTGTCATAAATAATTAAAAAATTGCCATAAATAAATAAAACAAAATCATCTTTTTTTATAACTTATCTTTAATAGCAGTTTACCAAATCACCTTTGTTTATGAATTTTTATTGAAATTGGAATTTTTTTTTTCCCAATAGCTCAATGTCATATATGCATTTTTCTTTGTATCCAGTATTCTGTTAATCACAAAGTTCAGCTTTCCCTAGCAATGAAGTTCACAGATTTGCTCTTTGCTCTGAAACCTCTCTTTCCAATACTAATAGCTGTAATTTTATCTGCTTTTATTATCAAAATCCATGGGGGTAGATTTTCTGACAGGAAAAGAAGATATCACCCAGTTGCTGGCACTGTCTTGCACCAACTCTTCAACTTTCATAGGCTGCTTGACTACATGACCAACCTTACCAGCCATAGGAAAACTTACAGGTTGCTTAGCTTCATCAGAAGTGAGGTTTACACTGCAGACCCTGTTAATATTGAGCATATCCTGGTCACAAACTTTGGAAACTATGGCAAGGTACTACATGAATTAATGATCTACCTTTCTTCAATTGCTATCTCATAAGCTGTAAATTCTGTAGTAGAAATCCAAGGTTTGGTTGCAGAAATTGTTTAAATGTTCATGTCTGTTGAATCCATTAGTTGTTTTATTTGTGTTAGAGTTGTAGGTTCAAGCATACTTGTGAATAGCCCCGCTTTAGTGCGCTATAGCGGAGTTGCTTTGCGGTATAGCTGTCGGCCGCCACAGATCGCGCTGCGACAGTCAGTCGAAGTGTAGCGGATGTAGCGGCCGCTATTGCGGCTGAATCGCGACGCTATTGTGCCGCTACAGTAGTTTCTGCAAAAGTGTTTTTGTCGTAGATATATATAAGTATATTTAAGACTCCTCCTCCTTCGTCCGTTGCAGGGTTGGTATCACCACAGTGTCTTGACAGATCTTCTAGGAGATGGCATTTTCACAGTGGATGGAGAGAAGTGGCGACATCAGAGGAAGGCAGCAAGCTATCAATTCTCAACCAAGCTATTAAGAGAATTCAGCAGTTCAGTGTTCAAATCCAATGCAGTAAAACTTGCAGGGATAATTTCTGAAGCTGCAATCTCAAACAATATTATTGAGCTGCAGGTAAGAAGATGTTATTTAGTGAAATACAGAAAATTCATCTGTTCCTTCATAATCACAATCTTGGTCTCATCTGCATATTGCTTATTGGTAGGATCTGTTCATGAAATCAGCTCTAGATTCTGTATTCAAGGTTGTCCTTGGTGTAGAACTAGACACCATGTGTGGAACCTATAAAGAAGGCACACAGTTCTCAAATGCTTTTGATGAAGCAAGTGCTGCTATCATGTTTCGGTATTTTAACTTTCTCTGGAGGTTACAACGGTTCCTGAACATTGGATCGGAAGCAGTACTTAGTAAAAGTCTAAGAGTGATTGATGAATATGTGAATAAACTAATCAGAAGCAAGATTGAGCAAGCCCAAAAGCTACAAGATAATTCTCCTGTGCGCACAATTACTAAAATTATTGCTTACTGTTCTTAATTGTGTAGAATTAGTACTAATTAAATTGGAAACTTTTATATTTTACAGGGGATGAAAGGAGACATTTTGTCAAGGTTTATAGAATTGAAAGAGACAGATCCAAAGTATCTTAAAGACATTATCTTGAGTTTTATAATTGCAGGGAAAGATACAACAGCAATTACTCTTTCTTGGTTCCTATACCAACTCTGCAAGCATCCTCATGTGCAGGAGAAGATTGCACAAGAAATAAGGGAGGCAACAAGAGTAGCAGATGGATCAACAGTTGATGAACTTGCAGCTAGTGTAACTGAAGAAAACCTTGAAAAGATGCAGTATCTGCATGCAGCTTTGACAGAAACACTCAGGCTCCACCCAGCAGTTCCAGTGGTAATATATAAATTTACATTAACATAGATTGAAATATATGCATCAGTTTTGTGATGAGTGTTTGATTCTCTAACCAATTTTATGTTGTTGTTATAGGAAGGAAAGTTTTGTTTTTCAGATGACACGTGGCCAGATGGATTTAGTGTCAAGAAAGGTGATCTTGTGTCATTCCTACCATATGTAATGGGAAGGATGAAATTCTTGTGGGGTGAAGATGCTGAAAAATTCAGGCCTCAGAGATGGCTTGATGAAAATGGAATTTTCCAAAAAGAAAGTCCTTTTAAGTTCACAGCTTTCCAGGTAGGAAACATTTTTGTTTTTGTTTATGCATGTAACCAAAATAAACCAGGTAAGTCAACAACAATTTCATTCCAGTACATTTTGTTTTCTATATCTTTATAGTACTTAAAGTCTCAATCTAATGTTGTGTAACACAGGCGGGTCCAAGAATTTGCCTGGGAAAGGAGTTTGCATACAGACAGATGAAGATGTTTTCTGCAATCCTTTTAGGTAGCCACAGCTTCAAACTGGCAGAGCAAAATAAATCTGTAAAATACAAAACCTCACTCACTCTACAAATTGATGGTGGCCTTCATGTCTATGCTTCTCAGAGAGGGAAATAATGGTCTTACAAAGACATACCCTTGCCTAGAATATATGGATAGCGCATGACTTCAAAATAGATTAGTAATATAAACTTAATTCATGCGTCTAATTATGTCAAAATTGATAAGAATTTATTTTGGAGCAGTCATACTTTCTAATAATTCTATATTGCTTCGAACATTATTAGTTTTTTTTTTTTTTTAATAACGTTATATAGATACCTGTTATATATGTAAATTTTTAATTCTGCAAGAGAACATTGGTAGTTTTCTTTTTAAGAAAATAAAAGAAAAGAAAAAATATGGACTACTATAGGACTATTAACTATTTGGAAATTTTATATTTCTATATCAATTATTATCTAATGAATGTGAAAATTTCTTATATCATGAACTATACTCAATTATCAAGTTTTAGTTGCTATACTATCTAATGTGTATGGATTATATGGTGAATTTTCACAGTTTGATTTATAATAAACGTTTGAAATATTAAATGATAAATTATTAAGTGATTTAGAAAAGAGCAATAAATGAGGCTAAGATGGAATAGAATGATGAGCCCATGATGACATTTTTTTTAAAGGTTTTATGAATATAACGTTGGATGATATTTTTTGTGTCATGTCATTTATATATATATATATATATATATATATATATATATATATATATATATTGTGGGTCCCACTATAGAATAAAAGAAAAAAATCAGAGTGGGTCACATACCTATTTGTGTAGGAAAAAGAAATTATATCATGTAACATGACACTTCTTTTCTCTTTTTTTAATAGTATTAAAATAATACGTTTAGATTTTGAGAAAAATATTAAAGCGATTTCGTTATGTCTTAGACACATAAACATTGTGAGTTTCACTATATAGAATAAGAGAAAAAATTGAAGTGAATCTCATACCTTTTTGAATATGTAAGAAAAAGAATTATATATATAATATGACACGTCTATTTCTTTTTTCTTTTTTCTTTTTTCTTTTTTCTTTTTTTGGTAGTATTTGTATTTCTTTTTTTAACGGTGTTAAAACAATACGTTGAAAAATATTATATATATAAAGCGATTTTCTTATATTAACTTGTATTCGATTATAAGGGCCCGTGGAGTTATGGATTGGGCTATTTGTTCCTTCAGCCTACTTCCACACTGGGATGCACTTTCCATCATATTTCTAGGACTTTTTTTTCATTTTGTCTCGGACTCGATCCCTCTCTTGTGCAGCATCTGTTCTTTTATGATAAAGAGTTAAGTGTTAACACGATTGATCAAAAGTTGAGAAGGACATAATATTGAGAGAAAACAAAAATGAAAACTAGAAAATGCCTTGCCAAAAAAAAATTAAATTGAGGAGGAAATAAAAAAGATATAATTATAAAATTAACAAAATTTAAAAAATTATGAGAATTGGTTATAAGTTTGGAAAATTCTCACTTAAATTTAGTACATTCAACCTAAGTATAATAGGTAGGTAATTCATTAATATATAATCGATAAATTATTTTTATGTGAAAATCTTGAGAATTCAAACATTCAGACGAACGAGCGTATCTCGACAAAGCAAAAGAAGTTCTTGAGTGTTCACCCACAAAAAGAATTCTACGGCACAAGTTAACATGAGTAAAGGTTTATTTGATAAGATGATACAAAGCAACATATGCACACATGTGAATACTCAAATTTTAATTTAGTTTATCATTAAGATAAAGCAATGAAAACATTGGATGGAGAGATTATAGTAAGTAAATTTATTTATTTTTGTTCTCCACTAAAGAACAAGATTTCATTATTTTTTACATGATAGGCTACAATTATGCTCCATTTCTCAAATGTAGCACACTTCAGGTCACAGTAAACCTTGAGTGCCAGAAAGGATCAAAATGGAGACCAACAGAAGAAATAAGAGGCACTACTTTTGCCTTAGTGATTCTAATCCTCACAACATGGGCATGGACCACATCCCCATCAAGCCTGTGAAGTCGCTTGTAACCCACTGTTGTCCCTTGGATGATCAGTTTACCATCAACATAGATTTCATGTTGTTCGATCCTTTGACCAAGTCCAATTGCTTCTTGTATTCTAATCACATTGAATCTTAAAGTACTCCCATCCTTGCTCCAAATTTCAATCCAATGGTCCTTTTCATCAGCATCTTCCCTTGGGGCCCAGTATGACCACAAGTGGTCACTATCTAGCATGTTTTCTGGTCCAAAACCTCCCCCATTTCCCCCTCTTTGGCTACTAACTTTAACATAACAACCTTCAGCCAGATTCTGATGAAAAATTGTGTTAACTGCACTTCTTAATTCTTTCAATACATGAGCATCAGTATCAGATATAAGGCCAATTGTATTAGGAGGTACATTGAGAAGTAACACACAATTTCTCCCTACGGAATTGTAATAAATATCAAGTAGCTCACTTAGCTTTTTTGGCGATTCTGACTTATGCCAAAACCAACCCTTTCGAATTGAAACATCACATTCTGCTGGTAGCCAATCTGTCCCTCTCCGATCACCAGTGTTCAGATACCTGCATGGTGATAACCAAGTCTCCATGCTGGTTAAATCAACCCATCAAGTAACTCTTTAAGCATAAGAAAAAATTGTAATTCTCCATGATATAATGGAACTGATAATTGGTTTGGAACTTTGAGAGATTTGATTCCGGTTCCACTAATTTTTTTGTTAGTTTCATGCACAAGTTGAGTGTCATTAAAAAATGATTTCATGTTCAAAAATATTAAAATAAAATGATTTCAGCATTATGACAACCAAGACCCCATTATTCTTGCTTTGGCTGGTTGAGTTAATTAGTACCCACTTTTGATAGAGACAGGAAAGTTCACAAAAGAATGCTGTTTCTTTACTTTTTCTTTTCTGGGGGAAAGCATGCACTTTTTGACTAATGAAGTCAAGCCAGCACTCAAACTTCAACTTTCCTACCTTATCATTTCTAGATCACTAGAGAGTTCAGTGCAACAAGTAATGTGAAAATGTGACACCTTTTTTCGTGTGCTTTGCTTAAAAGCAGAACTTACTCCTTGATAGTTGAATTTCCAATTGATAGAGAGGTTCGATTAATGGTAGACCAACATGTGTCCGCTGCATATCCTTTTTCATCTCCCACCCATCTAACATCTGGACCAGCATCAGAGAAGATGTTGATGGAACTCTGCAACTCCTTCACCATAGAAAACCAATCTGAAAAGTAGTAGGACACATTTTTTGTCTTGGGATCCTTTGCTCCATCAAACCAAATTTCTCTAACATTTTGATATCTAAAAAATGCACAAGATAAGGTTAAGGCAATTACATCAAACAAAGTAACTAACAAAGCAATTACAAAACAAAAAATAGAAACTGAACAAAATGGGAACTCACTTATTGAGCAGCTCTTGAAGTTGAGCCAAGTAGTATTCATTGTAAAGCAAATCATGGCCATATCTAGGCTCATGTCTATCCCATGGTGAAAGATAGATCCCTACATCTATGCCTTTATCAGTAGCTGCATTCACAAACTCTTGAACAACATCACCTTTACCACCTTTCCAGGGGCTCCCAATGACAGAATGTTTAGTGTACTTAGAAGGCCAGAGGCAAAACCCATCATGGTGTTTTGCAGTTAATATCATCAATGAAATTCCTGCATCTGCTGCCACAGTGGCCCACTGGGTGGTGTTGAGCCCTGTGGGATTGAATATTGCTGGGTTTTCACGGCCATTGCCCCATTCTTTGTCAGTGAATGTGTTAACACCAAAATGGAGGAACATTATGATCTCCCTCTGTTGCCATTTCAACTGGGAATATGTTGGGAGTGGGAGAATTGGCAGTGGGGGTGTTGCTACTTGCTCACGCCCAGAAATGCATAATCTGACTAGTTGGAATAGCAATGAAATTAAGAAAGAAGAGCACCGCAGCCTACCCATGATGCTAGCTAGCTCTTGATTGTGCTTCTACTTGTTCTCTCTCTCTCTCTCTATTTGTTTATATATACATATATACTCGTGTAGAGGAAATGGAAACGGTGTTTGGTTTGGTTTTTTTTGTTGATGGAGAGTAGAGGCAGGACCAGGATTTCAAAAGGGAGCAAAAGTACACGAGAATTAAAGATAACACTCGGATTTGCATTTTGTTCTGTTGTTACTTTTTCGTCATCGCTATACCATAGATGAGCTCCAATCATTCACGGGTTGATTTTTGTTTTCCCCAAGAGGTAAAGGTCTGCTTCTATACGTAGCTTTTGTTTTCTTATGTAAATTCGAAAGTTGTCGTTGACATTAAATTAGTGCTTGAAACTATTTACTGAACATATGGTTGTTGTGTTATCACTAGGTTCCATCATAAAAATGTTTTTGTCAGAGATACACAAAATTATTAATGTAGTTTTTGGGGGCAAAACAATCATACTAACAATATTTTAGAAATGTATTTCCAACTGAAAGTATTTTTGAAATGTATAATCAAACTAAGGCAATCAAACACGTCAAAATATATGACGAGAATTTGGTCATCACTCCCGTCATGGTAGTTGACTCGTATGCCACTTGTGCCACACATACTAATGAACCCGAACCTGCCACCTTGGTTAACGGTATTGGTCTGACATAGTGAGGTCCCGCCACATAAAGTGACAAGATTTGTGTGAGCTTATTTCCAACGTATAGGTCTCACTAGTAAAATTGACGAGAATAAAAGAATTTATCCCCTTCCTCTTTCTAAGTTATTTTACTATCACAACACGCATCAGGTCTGCTCTCAACTTCAACTCCAACTCGGGCAATTCATTTCAACTAGGACAATATTTGGCTATAAAAATATTTGCTTTTTTTTTTTTTTTGACCAACATTAACAACTGATTCTGAGGGATTATCCACTCCTAATCCTCAAAGGCTTACTATGGCATGTTAACTTTAATACAACAAATCCTTATCACAAAAAGCATAGCGACATAAATATCAGGTAACATACAAGCAATTAATGTTTCATTACAATTACTTAATTATAGATATTGAACATGTCAATTATATTATGCAAGATGAATGGACCCAATATCGAGATTGGAAACTCAGATACATGTGTCTTCATATGTCTCACTTAAATAAGGTGATTTTTGACCTTTACAATTTTATTTTTGAAAAAAAAAATATATTATATCTACTTATTTTTTGTATTTATTGTATTTTTTCTCATACCGCTCGATTACTATTGTAATTTATTTTATTTTATTTCTCTTCTCTCCTTATTAATTAAGATTATGATCTATTTATATGTAAGTAGGGAAATAAAATAGGCTTGAAAAAAAGATAAATATAGTATTTTATCTTTTTATTCTTTAATATTTTTTATTTTTATATTTAATAAAGAAAAAATTCATTGAAAAATAGAAAGAGAGAAGGCAGAAAACAAAGACAGCAGATTATATATTGGGAAATAGAAGTATAATGTTGTAGGAAAGTTGTTAGGTTATGTTGTAGAGATAGAGATTGTGGGACCCACACTTGTTTTGTTTTTTGAAAACAAGTGTGGGTCCCACAATCCCTATCTCTACAATACAACCTAACAATTTTCCTACAACATTATTCTTCTTTTTCCTTTATATATTATACTCAAAGAACAAAGGCATGAACAATCCTGTTTACTACAAGAAAGGCATGGACAATGTTGTGTTTATGGACGGTCTTGTGCCTTAGTTTAGTTATACATTTCAAAAATATTTTGAGTTGGAGATACATTTTTTAAATATTGCTAGTATGGTCGTTTTGCAAGTTTTTGAGTTGAAATGATTATTTACATAGTATCAGAGTATCGGTGTCCTATGTTCGATTCTCGTCGTCTCCCATTTTCTTTGTGAAATTTTTTAGTATAAATAGGTTGAGCCTGATACATCATTCATCTTTCAAGTTCAATGGATTCTCTTCTTAAGAAGCGTATTAGAGATATATAAAACTATTAATGTAACATCACCCAACAACTTAAATTTTTAGGTTGAAATGATTTTTTTACAGTTTTATCTTCTCACTAAAACAGAGCAAGAAATTGTTGAAACACATTGCAAGAATCCACGAAATCCGATTTGGATGAAACCAAGTTGGATCATCATATTCTAGGATTCCCACTCCACACGGGGCTTTACGCAAAAACTCACTATGCGTGCAAGTACTAATTACGTCCCACGTTAATATTAATATCATCTTTATTTCAAATTATTTGAGATAGGTATTAGATGAATCCAAATGAAAAACATGAAAAAAAAATTAAAAATGTAAATAACACTTGAAATTAAAAATAATTATTAAAAATTTAAAAAGAAAAAGAAATTTTTTTTATACATAGAAGTAATGACATAAAGCAAAGAAAAAGAAAAGAGAGAGATAAAGATAAATAAGAAATAAGAGAGATAAAGAATGAAAAATAAAGAAAAAAGACAAATAAATAAATAAACAAAATAAAAAAATGGAGAGGAAAAAATAAGAAAAAAAAGGGAGATATTGGGGAAAAGAAACTAAAAAGAGATTATTGCATATGAAAAAAAGGGATCTAACCCTCAACAATTTATTAATTTTCCTTCCATCTATCCCAAGACACACGGCTAGCCAATTTATATCTCATTCCATTAAGTTTTGTTTTACTTCCAAATAAGTTTTGATTGACGTATTCCTCTTGTTGTCAAGCTCTCAGTAACAATTTTTTATTCTTACCAAGTATTTAGGAATCTTCACATTATGTGTTCAAATCACCTAAATTTTTATTTTCTCATCTTTTCAACCACCAATATTATTTCAATATCTTCACTTCTTATATTATTAATCTTTGTATGACCACTTATCCACTTTAATATCCTCATTTTACTTATTCTCATTTTATGCTCATATTGGTGTGTATTTGTCAACATTCAGTTTTATATAATATTGCAGGTCTTCTTATTAGTCTATACATGAATTATTCATATTTATGTTTTTGAAAAAGTTTATGATAAATTTATATATATAACGGGAAAAAATACGAAGCACAAATTTATTTTGTATAGAGTTGATAAATATTTTTTATAACTATATAGTTATTGATTTGAGAATTTTTTTCACACTGTAATGGCAACTTAGTAAAAGTTATGTGTAAGTGTAGAATAATGCATAAAATAACATTTGTTTCATATGAAAAACCCATTGGCAACTTGGACCCTGGAGGAAACGAGGAGGCATATAGTGCCGAGCTGGTCGCTTAAATGCCCGTCTGGTTATAAATATAGATGGGCCTACCAAGAGTCCAAGCCTTTAATATTAAAATTTTAATATATACTTAACTGTTAAATCTTCATAGCCTAAGAAATTAAAATATACGAAGTTATATTTTTTATATTATTATTGCTATTATTATTATGATTATATAACAAGGATAACTTATACGAATGTAATTCTAAGAACGTGTATACCCGATGTCAATTTATTCATAATTAATTACTGTAATTTATTAAGATTTAATAACTAATTAATTAATATAACTCAATACATTGTAAATGAAGTTGCAATTTTTTTTATACACGTATAAGTTGATATTTCTCCTTATTTCTCGTCCACTGACTGTTTGTATTTAACTCCACTATCATCGTTACCATTACTATTTACTACGATGTAAATTCAAACAAATAAAAGAGAGTCTCCCCATCTAAAAATGCTGTGTTGCTGTTATCAAAAAAAAAAAAAAAAAATGCTGTGTTCCTACATAAAACTTCTGCCATGTGGAACAAATGTAAATGCGTTGCTTTGACCAAGGATCTTAAAAATTGTTAATGGTTGTTGTTCGTGACTAGGTTCTTTCTAAAATAACGAAGGTGAAGAATGATAAAAGATTTGTGACCATGGACGTTTCCACTTTTTCAGCTTCATATAGCATTAAAGAAAATCATTGCAAGTAAAACCCTATAACAGAGCAATCACTATGTGTACCTAGGTCCCCGACAGAAAACCTCGGTCTATATCCTATTCCGTAACTCAAACTTAAGAATTTGAAAACTTAAATAGAACCTTATATGCAATTAATTAATGCAATTACGAATGGAGGCAACATTACTATTGCATGAGATTTGGTTTATTTTGAAGCTATAAAATACTGAATTGTTCGTGGATAACAATATCTTTAACCCAAATTAACTAGGATAGGTGGTTGATTAGCCTAAACGAACAGTATAAAAAATTAAGGGGCGAAATAAAATTAAAAAAATATAAATAATGTAACTCCCTAAAATAATAATAATAATTCAATCATAAATTATTATAAATAACACTCTAAAATATATAATTCATCATAAATTATTATAAATAACACTTTAAAAATCTTAATCCAATTATAAATAAATTGTTAACAAACCAAGTTCCAGGATATTCCACAATGAGAATATCTTATTTAATAATTACTAGATGAATAATATTATATTGTTCTAATATTAAATTTATCATTTTCATAATAATATATTTTTATATAAATAGAGGCTATAGGAGTCATTAGCCATTACTTCAAAATTAAGAGAGATCAATTAGGGTATTGGAAAATTTAGAGAAAACTCTACTAAAGGAGATAAAGAAAAAAAAAAAGAAAATAAATGAAGTGAGAAAACTTGATAATAAGAAAATATAAAAGTAAATATTAAGGGAGAAGTTATCTTCTTTTCTTTTAAAATATAAACATTATGGTTCTACCAAAAAAAAAAATATAAACATTATGGAAGTGTTGTTTTATTATCATGTTTTACTTTTCTTTTTCTTAATTCTCCTCCTAACCGTTCTCCATGAGACATCGCATTTCTATTTCTTGTATGTTATTTATTTTAATAATTTATAATTTTCGCAATTTATATTACAGGAATTCATATTACAAAAATTTACTTTTGGAAAAATCATACTTAATCAATTTATATTTCTATTATATATAT